CCCGCCCCAACATCCTGCCCAAATCCCGCCCCAACATCCTAAAATCCTCCCTGCCATCCATCCAAATCCCGCCCCCAAAAATCCTGCCCATCCCATCCAATCCCGCCCCAAAATCCTGCCATCCATCCCCTGCCGCCCCAAAATCCATCCAATCCCGCCCCAAAAAATCCTCCATCCAATCCCGCCCCAAACCTGCCATCCATCCAATCCAAAATCCTGCCATCCTCCCAAATCCCGCCCAAAAATCCTGCCATCCATCCAATCCCCCCTAAAATCTGCCATCCATCCAATCCCGCCCTAAAATCCTGCCATCCCCAATCCCGCCCCTAAAATCCGCCATCCATCCAATCCCGCCATCCATCCAAAAAATCCTGCCATCCATCCAATCCCGCCCTAAAAATCCTGCCATCCATCCAATCCCGCCCTAAAATCCTGCCATCCATCCAATCCCGCCACAAATCCTGCCATCCATCCAATCCCCGCCTAAAATCCTGCCATCCATCCAATCCCGCCCTAAAATTCCTGCCATCCATCCAATCCCGCCCTAAAATCCTGCCATCCATCCAATCCCGCACTAAAATCCTGCATCCATCCAATCAAAATCCTTCCTCCAATCACTAAAAATCTGCCATCCCATCCAATCCGCACTAAAATCCTGCCATCCATCCAATCCCGCACTAAAAATCCTGCCATCCATCCAATCCCGCCCAAAATCCTGCCAACCATCCAATCCCGCACTAAAATCCTGCCATCCATCCAATCCCGCCCTAAAATCCTGCCATCCATCCAATCCCGCACTAAAATCCTGCCATCCATCCAATCCCGCCCCTGCCAAAATCCTGCCATCCATCCAATCCGCACTAAAAATCCTGCCATCCATCCAATCCATCCACTAAAATCCTGCCATCCATCCAATCCCGCCCTAAATCCTGCCATCCTGCCATCCATCCAATCCCGCCCAAATCCTGCCATCCATTCCAATCCCGCCCTAAAATCCTGCCATCCATCCAATCCCGCCCTAAAATCCTGCCATTCCATCCAATCCCGCCCTAAAATCCTGCCATCCATCCAATCCCGCACTAAAATCCGCCATCCATCCAATCCCGAATCCTGCCATCCATCCAATCCCGCCCTAAAAATCCTGCCATCCATCCAATCCCGCACTAAAAATCCTGCGCACTAAAATCCTGCCATCCACCAATCCCGCCATCCATCCAATCACTAAAATCCTGCCATCCATTCCAATCCCGCCCTAAAATCCTGCCATCCAATCCTGCCCTAAAATCCCATCCATCCAATCCCGCCCTAAAATCCTGCCATCCATCCAATCCCGCCACTAAAATCCTGCCATCCATCCAATCCCCGCCTAAAATCCTGCCATCCATCCAATCCCGCACTAAATCCTGCCATCCATCCAATCCAATCCTGCCATCCATCCAATCCCGCCACTAAAATCCTGCCATCCATCCAATCCCCACTAAAAATCCTGCCATCCATCCAATCCCGCACTAAATCCTGCCATCCATCCAATCCCGCCCTAAAATCCTGCCATCCATCCAATCCCGCACTAAAATCCTGCCATCCATCCAATCCCGCACTAAAATCCTGCCATCCATCCAATCCCCCTAAAACCTGCCATCATCCAATCCGCACTAAATCCTGCCATCCATCCAATCCGCACTAAAATCCTGCCATCCCCAATCCGCACTAAAATCCTGCCATCCATCCAATCCCGCCTAAAAATCCTGCCATCCATCCAATCCCGCACTAAAATCCTGCATCCATCCAATCCCCACTAAATCCTGCCATCCATCCAATCCCGCACTAAAATCCTGCCATCCATCCAATCCCGCACAAAAAATCCTGCCATCCATCCAATCCCGCACTAAAATCCTGCCATCCATCCAATCCCGCACTAAAATCCTGCCATCCATCCAATCACTAAAATCCTGCCATCCAATCCCGCACTAAAATCCTGCCATCCATCCAATCCCGCACTAAAATCCTGCCATCCATCCAATCCCGCACTAAAATCCTGCCATCCATCCAATGCCGCACTAAACCCTGACATCCATCCAATCCCGCACTAATCCTGCCATCCACCAATCCCCACTAAAACTGCCATCCCACCCAATCCCGCACTAAAATCCTGCCATCAATCCCGCATTAAATCCTGACATCCATCCAATCCTGCACTAAACCCTGACATCCATCCAATCCCGCACTAAATCCTTTTTCATCTTTTCCATTGGTGATTCGAGTGTCGCACGGCTCGCGATGCCTAAAACCTGTCTCGAGACACACCGCGAAGCTCCGCCCAGTAGCTATAGTTAACGATTGGCTTTTTTACTGTACTGGTTATCTGCAACTGGTACTCAGTATTTTGAAATATATTCTAGATGCCTTTTGATATCCCATGTGTGTGTGGGTGTGTGTGGTGTACTGTGTGTGTTTGTGTGTGTGTGTGTGTGTGTAACTGTGTGTTTGTGTGTGTGTGTGTAACTGTGTGTGTGAGTGTGTAACTGTGTGTGTTTTGTGTGTGTGTGTGTGTAACTGTGTGTGTGTGTGTGTGTGTGTGTGTGTGTGTGTGTGTGTGTGTGTGTTGTGTGTGTTGTGTGTGTGTGTGTGTGTGTGTGTGTGTTTGTGTGTGTGTGTGTGTGTGTGTGTGTGTGTGTGTGTGTGTGTGTGTTTGTGTGTAACTGTGTGTGTTTGTGTGTGTGTGTGTGTGTGTAACTGTGTGTGTGTGTGTGTGTGTGTGTAACTGTGTGTTTCTGTGATTGTGTGTGTGTGTGGTTGTGTGTGTGTGTAACTGTGTGTGTGTGTGTAACTGTGTGTGTGTGTGTGTGTGTAACTGTGTGTTTGTTTGTGTGTGTGTGTAACTGTGTGTTTGTGTGTGTGTGTGTAACTGTGTTTGTTTGTGTGTGTGTGTGTGTGTGTGTTGTGTGTTTGTGTGTGTGTGTGTGTGTGTGTAACTGTGTGTGTGTGTGTTGTGTGTGTAACTGTGTGTGTTTGTGTGTGTGTGTGTGTGTAAACTGTGTGTTTGTGTGTGTGTGTGTGTGTAACTGTGTGTTTGTGTGTGTGTTGTGTGTGTGTGTGTGTGTAACTGTGTGTGTGTGTGTGTGTGTGTGTGTGTGTGTGTGTGTGTGTGTGTGTGTGTTTGTGTGTGTAACTGTGTGTGTGTGTGTGTGTGTGTGTAACTGTGTGTGTGTGTGTGTGTGTGTGTGTGTTGGTGTGTAACTGTGTGTGTGTGTTGTGTGTGTGTGTAACTGTGTGTGTGTGTGTGTGTGTGTAACTGTGTGTTTGTTTGTGTGTGTGTGTAACTGTGTGTTTGTTTGTGTGTGTGTGTAACTGTGTGTTTGTTTGTGTGTGTGTGTTTGTGTGTGTAACTGTGTGTTGTGTGTGTGTGTGTGTGTGTAACTGTGTGTGTTTGTGTGTGTGTGTAACTGTGTGTGTTTGTGTGTGTGTGTGTGTGTAACTGTGTGTGTTTGTGTGTGTGTGTGTGTGTAACTGTGTGTGTGTGTGTGTGTAACTGTGTGTGTGTTTGTGTGTGTGTGTGTTAACTGTGTGTGTGTGTGTGTGTGTGTGTGTGTGTGTGTGTGTGTGTGTGTAACTGTGTGTGTGTGTGTAACTGTGTGTGTTTGTGTAACTGTGTGTGTTTGTGTAACTGTGTGTGTAACTGTGTGTGTGTGTGTAACTGTGTGTGTGTGTGTAACTGTGTGTGTGTGTGTGTGTGTGTAACTGTGTGTGTTGTGTGTAACTGTGTGTGTGTGTGTAACTGTGTGTGTGTGTAACTGTGTGTGTGTGTGTAACTGTGTGTGTGTGTGTAACTGTGTGTATGTGTGTGTAACTGTGTGTGTGTGTGTTGTGTGTGTGTGTGTAACTGTGTGTGTGTGTGTAACTGTGTGTGTGTGTGTTGTGTGTGTGTGTAAACTGTGTGTGTGTGTGTAACTGTGTGTGTGTGTGTAACTGTGTGTGTGTGTGTGTGTGTAACTGTGTGTGTGTGTGTAACTGTGTGTGTGTGTGTAACTGTGTGTGTGTGTGTAACTGTGTGTGTGTTGTGTGTGTGTGTGTGTAATGTGTGTTGTGTGTGTAACTGTGTGTGTGTGTGTTGTGTGTGTGTGTGTAACTGTGTGTGTGTGTGTGTGTGTGTTGTGTGTGTGTGTGTGTGTGTGTGTAACTGTGTGTCTGTGTGTGTGTGTGTGTAACTGTGTGTGTGTGTGTGTGTGTGTGTGTGTGTGTGTGTGTAACTGTGTGTGTGTGTGTGTGTAACTGTGTGTGTGTGTGTGTGTGTAACTGTGTGTGTGTGTGTGTGTGTAACTGTGTGTGTGTGTGTGTGTGTGTGTGTGTGTGTGTGTGTGTGTGTGTGTGTGTGTGTGTAACTGTGTGTGTGTGTGTGTGTGTGTGTGTGTGTGTGTGTGTGGTGTAACTGTGTGTGTGTGTGTGTGTGTAACTGTGTGTGTGTGTGTGTGTGTGTAACTGTGTGTTGTGTGTGTGTGTGTGTAACTGTGTGTGTGTGTGTGTGTGTAACTGTGTGTGTGTGTGTGTGTAACTGTGTGTGTGTGTGTGTGTGTGTGTGTGTGTGTGTGTGTGTAACTGTGTGTGTGTGTGTGTGTGTGTGTGTGTGTGTAACTGTGTGTGTGTGTGTGTAGGCATGAGTGTAGGCATGCGTGTATGGATGAATATGTAAACGGATTCAAGTATGTATTCCTATAGGTATGGATAAACGAACAAATGTTATATGACTTATTAAGCATGTATAATTCATATCTTACCCGACTGTTTTTTGATAAAACGATCGAGGATCACGCACGTACATTTCTCTCCTATAATCTATTTATTTTTATCTATGTGCTTCTCACCCTCCCTTTCTCCCTCCGTTTACCCTGGCTTTTTGTGAGGTGCTTTCTCCTTCCTCGCTGACTTGCAACACTCCCTTTGAAATGCTACGAAAAACAATATATAATAATATAACTTAATGAAGTTTTAAATTAGTTTTTACT